AAAAGATGTTTGGTTGGAAGCAGTTATGAGTTAAAAAATGTATTTAGCAAGTGCGCCGTTGGCGAATTGCTTCTACCTCGGTTTAAAAGTGCGGCCTGGCACAAAGCCTATTACGTAAAAAATGGCTTTTGTCTACATGCAAGATTAATCTTCGCTCAAAGGTTTTAGTCAGGGTCTCAATATCACTTTGAAACAGGGGCAAAGGCAACTCTAAAACGGCCAAATTCTGCCACCTCAATTTTGTGCTTTAGTGGACTGAGCACGTGAGTGCACGTGGTATTAAATTGTGACACGTGGTAGTCATGATTGTAATGAGTGTGACGAGGTGTTTTACTCGCCTGTGCGACTTGTTAGACAAGAGCCAGCAAAGTAAATGAATGGCTCGATTTTAAAAAGACGAAAGCAAAAGTTGTTTATCTCCAGGATTCCTTTCGGAGGTTTTAAGTGTCGTTTAACAGAGGGCAACACATTAGAAAGCAGTAATAAGTGGTTTTATCGACAATGTATAACAACATTTCACAGGGTAATTTGAAGGGCAATAGACCAATTTCGACATATCAAAATTCAGCCTAAAATAATAGACTCAGCACGAGGCTCTAGGGGAATAAATACAGAGTTTGTGGGGTTTATTCCCCAGAGCCTCGTGCTGAGGTCTATTGTGTTAGGCTGAGTTTTAATATGTCCAAATTGGTCAATTGGTCAAATTAAAACGTTGCGAAAATAAATAATAACATGTTAATGAGTAACGCGTTGTGTTTGAGTTGTGGACCATACATAAAAAGGGAGGGCTTTGTTGTGAGCTATTGATGTCTTGTTTCCTCTGTTACTTGCCAGCAGATTGAGTATATAAAATATCGGCCCCTGTTCAAGTCGGAGCGGTTAGAAGGTTAGGCCACTCGCCTCCAGATCGAGCGGTCAAGAACGGAAAACGTTCTACGCAAAACACTACTCGAAAGGAATTCTAAGACGGAGCTTTATTTCTTCGATTAGACCTGCCGTTCACAAGTAATTCGTCACAGAAACGGAGCTTTTCAAAACGCTCTTCAAACAGGAGGAATTTAAAAAACCGGCTTTTCGTTTTCGTGTGGAGTTCAAACATTTTGAAAACGGAGCTTTTCGAAAACGATGACGTCACGATAATCATGTGATTTCCCTGACCGAGTTTTCCTCAAACACAAATCCAAGATGGCCGGTGATTGTTGCGCGGACGGAAAACATTTGATTTGTTTTCAGGGTAAAACCTCCGTTTTTAAATTCCTCCGGCGTAATGTGCACGGGGTTTGTCATTTCAGGTTGTTGTTTTGCAGTGGACGGCTAAGAAATGTACAAAGATTTATAACGCACGTGCACGGCCATTGTTTTGT